CTTTTTTATACCTTTTTTACTGCTGAGAATTCTTCTGAAAACCTGTTATTGATTTTTAACTAACCACATTTTGAGCAATTGTTCCTTGACACATTTTTCTAAATCTGATTGGTTTTTCAGTGTGTCATCACAGATCATCTCTAGACAAACTGATTTCATGTAGTCTGTCAAACTGGATGAGTCTATTCTCATCCCTTTATATAATTGTAAATAAAATTATTGAAAATAGTATCCTCTTACCTCTCAATGTCAGGATTCTTTTCAGGACATCTTGCCTCCAATATATTGTTGTGTAATTATTTCATCAGGTGGTTGTCGGGTTTCGTTTGTAATCTCTCTGTCCGTGGTTTTCTCTACAGAAATAGAAGAATTAAAAGAAAAAGTGCAGCTCATGAGAATGTTCTGCCAGAACGGCAAATTCTTTTCCTAAATGCTGTAGAGTTACAGAGTCCTGGTTTGTCATCCAAACCTATGCTAATTCACTCTTTTCAGAATCTGATTCTCTTGCTTTCGTATATTTTCATCGTACATGCTGAGATCCAGCTGTATAAAAATGTCTTCAGGCTCAGGGGTTCCTTTTGTAATAGAAAGAAACTTTAATTGCTGCAAGGCTGAAGATATCAGCTGTGTTCAAAAACAGCTACACTGTTTTAGCAAAATATACATTAATTTCCCCAGTGGTGAAAAATGTTTAAAAAATATAAATGAAGTAGTTAGTCCCTATAGGATCAAGGAAATAATGACAGACTATTTTAATTATGTTTAGAAGTTCAGACTTTAGCGTTCTTATCATCTTATTACTTCCAGTAAGTTAGCTTCCTAGCTGTGCTTCATCTTATGCCTCTGTACTTTACATCTGGAGATTATGGAATTTAGATGCTGACTTTGACATAATTTTATAAAATTGGTGTCGTAAGATTAGCCCTTCTCTTTTGTCTACAGGTTTGATATCTGGCTGCTGTAATTACCTCGTAAGTCAGTTCTGAAAGTTTAAGAACCGGGGAAAGCGGGATGCAGTGGAGTGAGGTAGAATCTGCTCTCCTCTTGAGTAGAATCTGCTCTCCTCTTTTGTAAACTCTGGAGTGATATTTATTAGGCTGTATGAGTCTAAGCCAGAGAATTAGGGTCAGTAGCTCCCCCAGGTTTATATTCACCTATAAGTGTCATACATACATTGATCATTTTATGCATGTTGTCAGTACTGAATAAAATTTATTAAGTAGATATTAGTTAGGAAGGGCTTTGTTTAGAGTTCTTTGCATATTGTGATACCTAATGGTGGAATTTTCTAATAGTTGAGTTGACACATCTTAGATGATTTTTCTTTAATTTTATTTATTTAATTATTAAAATGTATGTTACACAGCAGTATATGACTACATCTCCAAAGAAAGTAAAGTATTTCCAGATAAGTTGATCTATCCTCAAATCTACTTCTCCAGGAAATAAAATACATTGTTATCAGTTTGGTATATATCCTCCAGACCTGGATTTGATATTTTATATATATATATATATATATATATATATATATATATATATATATACACACACACATACAGACAGACACACACACACACAGAAAACATATAGTGTTGCTTTGTGTGTATGTGTTTTATATAAATAGTACCATACTTTGTATTGTTGATCATTTTTCAAGAAAGTTTTTCAAGGGTTTGCCAGTTTGCAGCTCTGGTTAAAAAGAGTTCCATACCACCATTTCTATCTCAGGCAATACTGTGAAGGAGATGAAATTTTTTTCTTGGTCTCTATTATTTTGTGCATTATCTCTTTCGTCCATTTTTATTTTTCAATCCCTCCTCTCTCCTTTCTCATCCCATCACTTAGACCTTAAGGAAGGGATTCCTATCCTTCACTTTGAACGTAAGTCAGTGTATTACTTACAACACGTATATTAATTGTTAGCACCAAGTACAAAATAGAACGCTTTGTTCCAGTTAAAAGAACTTCCAGTACCAATAAGACAATGTGGAAATGTTTTAGAGAGCATGAGATTTCTTCTTTGTCCCTGAAGTCCCACCTGTTAGGTACCTGCTCATTCTGTGAGGCCATGAGCCAACTCAGCCCCACCATATTTTGAAAGAAAATGCACAAATTTTGAACAGGGCTTACATTTGGTTATGGAACCATTTGTCGGAGTTCCAGTTTATAATTTGAAATCATGGGGCTCCTCTACTCAGCCAGGAGGAAGGCAGTGAGGTATTAAGAGTTCAGCATATCCAAATGAAAAGGAGACAGATTATTTGCTCTGAGAATATGTAACAGCATGTACCACTACAACTGTTTTTATGTGGTAGTGATGGTTGTAACATAGCTAAGAGCCCAGTGGCCCAAAACAAAGAACTTCTGTGTTCCCTACCACCAGGCTTTTGCTCCTCTGGGGTCATTTTGGACCCCAAACTTTAAAAAAATGTTCACAGCTACTTACATATACCTCTGTGGTTTTCAAATTCATGATCCTGCTGCTGTTTTCTACCTTAAGGAATGCATACCTACTTATTACATATCAGGCAAGATGCCAGCCATTTTTATATACTTTATATTTTATCAAAGATGTCAGGTTTAATAAGGCAAAGATGAGGATACCCATTTTACAGGTGAGGCCATTGAAGTTCAAGGTCACCTAACTAAAGTGGTTGTTTCATAATTCAAACTGAGATGACGTTAACTGCAAAGTCTGTCTTTTCCATTAAGCCTTGCAGCTTCTTTTTATATCCCTTGTTTTCAAACAATATTGCATAGACTTTTTTTTATAAGCAGTCTTGCATTATATTTTGGACTCACTCTAAATTAGTGTCATTTTGGAGAAAGTTTAAAAACTAAACTATGGAGTATTCATAATTAGGTATGAATGTAATTTGCCGTGTTGGAAATTCTGCCAGCCAAAACCCATTTAAAGTCTTGCTGATAGAAGTTTTCTTTTCACTAAGAGCATCTGCTAGCTAAAATAATGACCAAAAGGGAGAAGCCACTCGAATAATCAAGTCTGTTCACTGACTAAACTTGTTTCTCTGTTCCCAAATTCTTAGATTAATGAAGACCCTGAGTTGTTTTGACGGATTACACAAAGTATTCCTCTGTGTCCTCCCAGTGTTTTCAAGAGGAATTAGAATTTTCCCTGGCTGTCCAGTTATCTGACACTGTTTTTGTTTTTAATGTAATGGACTTGTGGTTTAGCATTTCACTGCCTTTTTGTGGTTGCAAAATTAATTGAACTACTTAAAAGTATTTCCCTGTTAAGATATCATATTTACATCAGGTGTAATTTGTGTATACATTTTACGTTGCATTGAGTGAAAACACAGGTGTTCTAGAACGACCTGTTTTTGTGTTTGTATTCTTAACCGATATGTTTACTCTATATTGATATTTGAACTCATCAAAGCAAAATTTATTATTCTAAATAAAATTGATAGTTTGGTCTTTCATTTCTTGTCACAGCTCTAAGCATTTTGCTTTGGGAAGAGAATACTATTTTGAGTCTAACAAAATATCTTAAGATTATTGAATATATTTATGCTTAGCAAACTTTAAATAATCAGGAAGCTTATTTGAAAATCAACTTATTCTTTTGAATTTTGAGTTAATAATTTAGGCATTTCATAAAGTGAGATACCTCTGTTTTTAAATGTGATTTATGTTATTTAAATAGTGAAGCTCTGTTACTGAGTTTTGGGAACGATGTTTTGACATGATGCGAGATGTACCACTGATTTGCTAAGACCTTGTACGTATTTTTGTTTTATCCACTGAAACCATTGCTCAGGTATTTGTGAAATGGCTTAGGGATAGCATTCAGAAATGCATTTGTGGAAGTCTCACCTCACACTAGTCAGAATGGCGATCATCAGAAAGTCTACAAGGAACAAATGCTGGAGAGGGTATGGAGAAAATGGAATCTTCCTACACTGTTGGTGGGAATATAAATTGATGCAGCCACTACGGAAAACAGTATCAAGTTTCCTTAAACTAAAAATAGAGCTACCACATGATCCAGCAATCCCACTTCTGGACATGTATCCAGAAAAGAAACTAATTCAAAAAGATATATGCACCCCAATGTTTATAGGAGCGCTATTTACAATAGCCAAGACATGGAAACAACCCAAGTGCCCATCAACAGACAATTGGTTTAAGAAGATGTAGTATATATACAATGGAATATTACTCGACCATAAAAAAGATTGAAATGTTGCCATTTGCAGCAACATGGATGGACCTAGAGAATATCATACTAAGTGGCGTAAGTCATGGAAACACAAATACATGATATTACTTATATGTGGAATCTAAAAAGTGATACAAATGAATCTATGTACAAAACAAACTCACAGATAGAAAACAAACTTATGGTTACCAAAGGGGGAAAGGGAGGAGGGGGAGAGATAAATTAGGAGTATGGAGTTAACAGGTACATACTACTATACATAAAATAGATAAGCAGCAAGGATTTACTGTGTAACACAGGGAACTATAGTTACTATCTTGTAATAACCTGTAATGGAAAATCTGAAAATATATGTAACTGAATCACTTTGCTGTACACCCGAAACTAACAATATTGTAAATCACCTATACTTCAATTAAAAAATCAAATTAAAAGAATATCCTTTTTGAAAAAAAAAAGAAATGCATTTGTGGCTGATGTTTCAGCAATACAGGCAAGACTTTCTGTGTCTGTGAATTTCTTAGATTGGAAGGATCTTCTAAATAGTGTTCTCAGTTCAGTGATTCAAATTTTAGACAACAAAATTCTGTGAAGCCACTGGCAATATCATTAGGTCTACCACCACCTTTATAGTCAGTCTTATTGCATGTTTCAGTTAAGTCCACCGGTCTGAAATATAAGCCAATTTCTGGTTATTTCCCCCCACCAAAGAATGTTGTTCTGCTTGAGGCATTGTCACAAGAGCTTAAATTCTTCCATGCCTAGAAATGTCAATTTACATTGACATTTTTATTTTTGTTGTTGTTTTTAGAGCATCAGGGCATCGGGCCTTATCCTGTTGGAAACAATCCTTTTTGGGTCTCTGCTTCTCTACTTTCCGGTAAGTAACATATTTTTATAATTTCATGTTTAAAATAGCCATTTTATTTTGCTATATACGTATACTATATTATATATACTATGTACTATATGTATATATGCTTATATATATTTCTATATCTGTATGCAAGTTTGTATACCTATATCTATATTGTATAAAATGTAGATGTAGATATATGGTAGATATATAAACAAGGGCTTTACAGATATTTAAATCCTGGCTCTTACCTATTGGTAAGACAAGCTGATTAGCATTTCTAAACTAACCTTGGTTTCCTCTTGTAAAATGGAGCTAATTATTCTTTTCTTCCCAAATTTGTGAGAAGTGTTAACTGCTTAAGTGAGCTCACATATGAAAGGCATGCTTGGTATGTACATATAAACACTGGTTTCCTTCTTCTTCCCCCTCTACCTGAATCAGAACCGTGAGACACACCAAGTAGTTAATGCTGAAAATTTCCAAATGGTCACGTAGACAAATAAGCAGAATAAATGTGTGTGTGGTACTAGTGGTGTGGAGAATCATAACAGACCTTCCTGTCGCACTAGTTACATATCTGTAACCAGAAGATAAGTACTGATTCTACTAATTCAATTCAACCACTTGTATTCAGCAGTTCTTGTGTGTTAAGCACTTTGCTAATCTGGGAGTACTCTGTAAGTGAGAGAAACTTGCTTTCTCTTCTCAAGAAGGTTACAGCTTAGAAGAGGAGATGAGGAAGTACAGGTAATTATAATATAATGTGACAAAAGTTAGGAAGAGTAGAAGAGCAGGATGCTGTGGAGGCACTTAGGAGAGACGCCTAACCAAGTCTGGGGAATAAAATATCACTTGACCAAGATCTGAAAGATGAATAGATGTTAGAGAAGGAAAAAGTAGGCCTTCCAGGGCACCACATTCTTTTTGGTTTTCCCCTTACCTCACTAACTGCTCCATTTCAGCCTTCTTTGCTGATTCTTAATCTTCTTTCCCACTTTTTACTACTTGAGTGTCTCAGGACTAGTCCTTGTAGCTTTGCTTAGTCTACATTCTCCCTTGGGATCTCGTCTAGCCTCAGAAGCTTTAAATGTTGTTGAATTGACAATGACTCCTTACTTTATATCTCCAGCCTAGACTTTTCCCCCAAGCTCCAAACTCATTTTCAACTGCTTACCTGACAACTCCATTGGAAGGTCCAGTAGAATTCCCTGTCATGTTCCTAACTGAGATACTGACCTCCCAAAGTCAGCCCGTCTCTCTGTCTCCGTTGACGGCGACTGCAGCCTTCTGGTTACTCAGGCCCCACACCTGGGAGTCATCCTTAACAACTCTCTTTCTCTCACATCCATCAGAAAACCTTCAAAACATAGCAAAGATCCAGCCACTCCCCACCAGTTCACTGTTACTGCCCTAGCCTAAACCACAGTCACTGTCTTCTGAGTTATTGCTGCATTCTCTTCCTCCATGCTTACCCGCTACGATCTATCTTCAAAATATCAACCAGTTAGAATGCCAAAGTTAGACCATGGCATTCCTCTCCTCAAAACTCTGAAAACGTTTCTCATTTTACTTACGGTAAAAGCCAGAATCCTTAGGATGGCCTTCAAGGCCCGACATGATTTGGATCCTGCACCTGCATTACTTCATTTTCTGATCATCTTTCCTGACTCACTGTTTACAAGCGTTCTTAATCTACCCAGGTTTTCTACTTCTTGAATTACATTTTATATTTCTCCTTAAGATAGAAATGTATTTAGGTATAATCATTTTTATTTTTCCATACAATTACCCATATTACTTAAGTTTTCTAATTTACTAGCATAGAGTTATACACAGAAATTAATAATAGAAGCGGTATAATAATACAAAGACTGTTTATCATGCCTGGTACTGTTCCTGTATAAATGGCATGTTGTACATTGTAACATTTAATCTTCCTGGTTGAACTACCAGGCAGGTATTTAACCAAAGTCATAGAATCACCCAGTTACAACGTGAAAGCCTGAAATGACTTCAGTAATCTGAGTAATAATCTTAATCATCTGAATATCTTCTCTTGCTCTGCCATCATCTTTTTCGTGAACCTCTGCTATTTTAAAATATATTTTCTACCCAGTAGCCAGAGGGGTATTTTAAAATATCAAATATAACCTCTCACCACTTCTATACCTTCTCAGTGTTCTTAGAATAAAGATCAAAACCCTGACATGGTTTATGTTATGTAAGTGTGGTCCTTACCCCACCCTTTCCCCCCAGCCTCATCCAATACTACTTTTCTCTTCACTTTCTGCATCTACCTACCCTGACCTTCTTTCAGTTTTTAAATGAAACAGGATCTCTCTCATGGTAGGTATAATAATGGCTCCCCAGAGATGTCCACAGTCCTAATTCCTGGAACCTGTGAATACGTTACCTTATATGGAAAAGGGAACTTGGCAGATGTGATTAAATTAAGGACTTCAAAATAAGGAGATTATTCTGGATTATCTGAATGGCCCAAGTTTCATAAGTGAAAAAGAGAAACAGAAAAGAGAGAGTCAAAGAGACAGCATCATGAAAAATATTGGACTGGCTACTGCTGGCTTTGAAGATGGAGGAAGGGGCCACAAGCCAAGGAATGCAGGCGCCTCTAGGAGCTGGTAATGGTGAGGGAACAGACCCTCCCCTTGATTTTAGTTCCATAAGACCCATCTTGGACTTCTTACTTCCAGAACTGTAAGATAATAAATCTGTGCTATTTTAAGCCACTAAATTTGTGCTATATTACAGCAGCAACAGGAAACTAATGTGCCTCTTCTCATAGGACCTTTTTGCATGCTTTGCTTCAGTTTTGAAGAATCCTCCTCTCTTCTTTACCCTCATTCCCATCTCACCAATTCTTCTATTAACAACTAGTCATCGTTTAGATTTCTACTTAAATATCACTTTTTCAGGAAAGCTTTCCTTGACCGCAAACTAAGTCAAATTCCTTATAATAACTTCTCATGGACTCCCTTTCTTAACCACACCTATCTCTAAGTATGCATTCAAAAGTGCAATTATTTGGTTAGTGTCACTCTCCCACACAGACTCTAGTTCAGGGAGAGCAATGGCCTGTTTCTGTGTGGCTCACTATTGTACCTGCAGCACTTAGCCCAGTACCTGTCACCATAGTTGAAGCACAGTAAATATGCAGTGAATGAATGAATGAGGTTATATTTGGATGCATTTAGAACTGTATCCTAAACTAGTGGCTATTGTCCTATTGAAATAGCCTCCAAAGAATCTGCTGGATTGTGGAAGACCAAGAATGATAGTCCTATTCATACTACTTTATTTAGTGCATACAGCTAGGCATTAAAACACTTTTTAATGTTATTTTTAGGTGTTAGCAAATTTGGGTTTATTTTTTACTTATTCAAATCAAGTGGCCATAATAAGGAGCATGGCCTAAAAGCTATAGAATTTTAAAGCCTCATAAACAGAAGAGGTATTCTAGAAAAGAAGGACGTTTGAAAGAATAGTAAATGTTAGGCTGCTAAATGTTGAAAGCAGTTATTAGAGACCCTTTCATTGACTGGGATCCAGTCTTGAAAGTCACCTAATGGGCCTATACTTGTGATGATATCAAGTACAAAGAAAAAGAGGAGAGAGAAATGGAAATTTAGAAAGAATAAAAGACAACACTTCTGCTTGACAATTCTATTGTGCCTGGGAGGAAAAAAACAGAAAAGAAGACTTACCAAAGCAATTCTGTCCAACAGGAACATAAGGATGCCTCATCATGTTGACTTCATGTTTAACTAGCTGTCTAGTTCATCTTTCATAACAGAAATTCTTTCTGCAACTGCTTGAAATATTAATGTGTAGCTCTCAATTTCATGCCGCATACCTTGGTTTTTAAATAAGTTAGTGTTCATGCTCTGATGGCAGAAAGGGCCAAATCATTTAATGAAGATTTGGATGTAGCATAAGATACAGGAGGAGAAAAGACATTAAAATATATTATTGATTGAGTATGGAAAGGGAAGTAATTTTATTTTAGGTGAGAAAATGGAAGATGATGTCTCAGAAATTGATAATAAAATCTTTGGCTACATAGGGAATGTTTATGCACATGGGTGTATGTGCATAGAGCATTCTTGACAAGAAGAATAACTTGGTCATTAGACCAGAGCTCATTGGCTTCCTTGGGTGTTGCAGAGTGAAGTTTATGACTTTGGGCTAGAGTTTTTGCTATAAGGAGGACCTCTATAATAAATGATAAAGGTGATTAAGTAAACCTAATATAGCCAAATGATCTAATTATTTGATGGTGTAAATGTGACCTATATTTATCTGTTAAATATTAATATCTTACTTTCTCTGTTCCTTGTGTGGCCTGTACCGGAATTGCTTATAAAATTTTTACTTGGGGTTGCAGTTGTTTTAAACAGTGTTCTTGAGCAAAGTAGAGTTGTTTTTCGGGCTGGGTAACTCCATGGAAGGACGCTTTGAGGGGATTCACTGTTCTACTGAGTTGTTATGCAGTGAGCCTTTTCTTCTTTTTATGCCGCATGTTGTTGTACAGATTTGCAAGAATTAAGGTTATTTTTGCCTTTTCTAAGCAATCTTAGACTACAGACGATTTCATAACAATGCTTATATTGGAAAGTCCAAATTAGAGATTATCATCATTGTCTAGATAAGGACAAACCGAAATCTGACTAAATTTAGCATTGTTATAATTGGGTAGCAGAGAGCTGAAGCTTTTAAAACATTTTCTTACAGATTCTCAAAAGAGACTCATGATTTGAAGTCCACACATTTGTGAACAAACGATTAGTCCTCATAATCACCTAAAACAACTTTCATACAATTTATAAAAGAAAGAAAAAAAGAGCTTTAAAAAAATCAACTAAAGTATATTTTTCTTGCTAAATCACATAAAACGACATATTATGGATTAATAAAACATATTAAGTAATATGGAATCTAGACGTTTATTTCTAGCTTGACCAAACCACCGGTTTCAGCTAATAAAGTAAATTTTTTCCCTTTAA